GGGTCGTTTTGGAGTGTGATTTGTGTTCGGGCTCGACTTCTTGTATAGGCCTTGTGGCAGTTTCGGGAGCCGTCCCTGGACTTAGATTATCCTCTGATATAGACTGTCCTCCGCTGGTTCGAGCTGACTGAATTGCTGTGGAAGGGCTTGTTAATATAGCTGTGTTTTCATTTTCTAGTTTTGTTGTAGATTGGTATGTTGTTCTAGTGTGTTAGTTTCTGTGTTTGTGTTTGTCGTTGTGTTTTAGGTCTGGGCCGTTGGCCTCTGTGAACCCGAGTGTCATTTTCATTACTCTGTTGGGGTCCGACACTCGGGAATTACCCTGTTGGGGTCTTGTGTTGTTTTTTTGTCGTTGTTTTGTGTGTTTGTTTTGAGTGTGTTGCCGAGTATTCTAGCTTTGCTAGTTTTCGGATCTAGGCGGTCTTCGGACCTGTCCTCCCAGTTTTCTCAGTCGTCGGTTGTATTATTCAGCTAGTGGCTGTACCTTTGCACATTTGTGCGTTTATATATAAATCCTCTATCGTTTCGACCAAAAAAATCGAGATTGATTCAACAACCAAATATTAATTACACAAGCTCATATCAATCCATTCGTCAAAGAAAGAAAAATGAAGCACAACAATTCATTGTCCAAATATAAAAATCCAAATATGTCCAAATATCATTACACATAATCCACCAAGAAAGAAAAAAATAAATATATATGTCCACAAAATTCCCGGAATACAATACAACTAACTAGGAGTGTATCGATTCGTAGGGTTGCGCGGTCGGGAGCTAACCCGACGTCGTGGTGGTCGTGAAGAAGATGATGCTGTGGGCGTGGTAGGTTCTTCTTCTTCTTCTTCTTCTTCTTCTTCTTCTCTTCTTCTTCTTCTTCTTCTTCAGCTGAGTAATTCATTGTTTTAAGAAATCAGAAATTCGACTTAACAAAAATCACAATAAATAAATAAAATTATATTTTTGTGTTAAGTTAAAAATTTTCACCTTCTTCTTCTTCTTCTTCTTCTTCTTCCTGAGGCACGGGGTCGGCAGCGGGTTGGCGGTCGCGTCGTCTTCTACCTCCACCAATGTTGGGAGCAGGTCGATGCCTCGCCCGGTGTGACTGCGTCCTTTGGGATCGGACGTAGCTCTCCTGCGAGAGAGCTTCGCTCGACGACGTCCCTTGTGCGACGTCTCCGCCTCTGACAGCCAGAGAACTGTATAGAAGGTTCTTGGCATGTTGGAATGCCGCCAACACATCTGGATGGAGTGTATGATGTAGGTGGTCCACGTTAGGTAACGTGTGAAAAGCACCCTCCATGGCGGTAGCCTGAAAATTAAATTCAAAGTCAATTATAATGAAACAAAAAAAATTAATAATAATAATAATAATAATAATAATAATAATAATAATAATAATAATAATAAAACACAAATATATATTACTTACATCGCACTTCCCCTGCTCGGCAAATGGGTGAAAGCCTCTGTCCGGTTGGGCCACCGCGTACTTGGCAGGGTCACCGAGTAGTCTCACAGTGATACTGTGAAACCAATCAAGGTAACCCGGCTCAGGCTCAATGAATGGCTCCATTGCGAGGGCTGGGACAACATTTTCGTCTCTATGTTCGACCCAAGCATTCCCAAGCTCTCTGTGAAAGGCGACCCAATCAAAAACTGGCCTCCCAGTCATCCCCTGGCCTCAATGGTGTAACTGATATTCGGTCTCAGTCGTAATGATAGGAGGCTCGGGGGTGGACTGCCGGCACCCGAACTGACGGAGGACCCTATAAGGCAGGTGGAGTTCACGAACGTTCTAGTTGAAGATCCACGCCCTATACATCCAGAGGTGTGAACCTTCTGTACACTGGGCCGGGAGAACATTCGCTTGCAGGTGCCACTGATAGGGTAGCCATTCGAACTGAAAAAAAAAAACATACAAAAAAAAAATTAGGAATTAAGTTATAAAAAAAATTAAAACAAAGAACAAATAAAAATAACAATAATAATCTTACATCCGTCTCTGTGAGCCCTGTCAATTGATCCCGGGTGGTGGCTGTTCCCTTGCCCAGGTGTGTCGTGCTCCTCCTTCCAACCCACCTTAAAAATCACAGTAAAAAAAAAAAATTGTAATCACAAAATTTTATAGTGGAAATAATCTAAGGAAAATTGACAAATAAATTTCACAAAATTTGACAGCTAAC